TGAGTCCACTTTTTACAGAGTACAAATAGGGATGCAGTTTCATTTTTTCCATATGGATATCCAGTTTTCCCAGCACTTTTTATAAAGAGGCTATCTTCTCCAAGGTTGTTTTTTTGTTTGTTTGTTTGTTTTTGGCACTGTTGTCAAGAATCAGATGACGGTAGCTGTGTGGGGTTTGTCTCGTGTCTTCCATCATGTTCCATTGGTCTGTGTGTCATTTTTATGTCAGAATCATGCTGTTTTTGTTGCTGTGGATTTGTAGAATAATCTAAGAACAGGTATTATGGCACTTCTAGAATTGCACTTTTTGTTTAGGATGACTTTAGCTAGTCTGCATATGAATATGGGCAGTCTTTTCTAAATTAAAAAGCTTCTGCCCAGCAAAGGAAACAACACAGCGGAAAGACCATTGAGAGAATGAGAAAAAATCTTTATCAGCTACTCTTCTGACACCTCAGCTAAACTTCCCACTCAACACTGAGACAAAAATAACCTAATCAACAAGTGAATAAATGAACTGAGCAGACGATTCTCAAAAGAAGATACACGAATGACCAAAAATCATATGGAAAACAGGTAAAACATCATGAGCCATCAGCAAAATGCAAATCATATCAAAACTAAGATTCCACCTCATTCCAGTAAGAATGGCAATAATCAAGAATTAACAACAAATGCTGGCTTGGATGCAGGGAAAAAGGAACTCTTATAGTCTGTTCATGGGAATGTGAACTGATACAACCACTATGGAAAGCAGTATGCAGGATGCTTAACAAGCTAAAAATAGAGCTACTGTATGATGGAGCTATACTACTTCTTAGTGTTTATCCAAAAGAATCAAAGTCAGCGTACTTTAGATACATACATATCCATGTTTATTATTAGCACAATTCACGGAAGTCAAATCATGGAATCATCCTAGGTGTCCATCAACAGATGAGTGAATATAGAAAATGTGCTCTATACACACCATGGAGCATCCAGTCATCAAGAATGAAATCATGCCAATTTCAGGAAGACGGATGGAACGAATACCATAAATTTTGAGTAAAATACTCAGTTTCAGAAATAAAAGTGTCATATGTTTTCTTTCTTATGTGAAAGCTAGAGGGGGAAAAACAAACAAACAAACAGAAAAACAGGAGGAAAAAGGGAAGGGGGATTTTATGAAAGGAGAAGGGAGACCATTGGGGCAAAGGAAGGGGGCCAGGAGGGTAGAGGGAAGGTTGGGGTGTTGGAAAGTAAAATCAGTCAGATTACATTTTTATGTCTATACAATTATGCCACAGTAAAACCTACCTTAGCATGCTCCAGTGGGAAAATAAATCTCCATTTTCACATGACATAACTTTCTGTGTGTGTATCATCTTTAGTATTTCCTACACAGAAAGTTATGTCATGTGAAAATGGAGATTTTTTTCCACTGAAAAAATACTAAATACTAAAGATGATATACAAAAAGAAAAAAAAGCTGAAGTAAATATATTCAGCAAATTTGCAGAATACAAAACCAGCATACATAATCACTTGTGTCTCTATGCACAAATAGTGAATGATCTAGGAAGGAAATTAAGAAAATGAACCCATTGATAACAGTATTACAAAGAATAAAATCCTTACAGTATTACAAGGAATAAACTTAACTAAGGAGGTGAGAGACTTGACACTGAAAAGTATAAAATATTGTTAAGATACTTTTAAAAAGACACAAGTAGAAAGACATACTGTGTTCATTGGTTAGAAGACATAATATTATAAAAATGTCAATTTCATCCAAAACACAATACAGATTCAATGCAATGCCCATTATAATCCCAGAGGCATTTTTAATATAAACAGAAAAAACATAAGACTAACATTCCTAACAAGAATATGGGGGAAAGATTGCACTCATATTGGTGCAACCACTCTGGTGGGACTGCAAATTGGTGCAACCACTCTGGAAAGCAGTATGGAGATTCCTCAAAATACTAGGAATGGAACCATCTTTTGACTCAGTTATCCCACTTGGTATATATCCAAAGGACTTAAAATCAGCATACTACAGTGACACAACCGAATCAATTATTATAGTAGCTTGATTCACAATAGCTAAGCTATGGAACCAACCTACGTGCCCTTCCATAGGTGAATGAATAAATAAATGTGGTCTATATACACAATGGAGTATAACTCAGCTCTAAAGAAGAATAAATAGAAGAAATATTAGTAAAATAGAGGAAAGGAAGCAGTGAGTGGTAAGGGAGCAAGGTTTGGGAGGTGGTGGGGAAGGAGAGGTTCTGGTACTGAAGTAGAGCAAGGTATATTCCAGGCTTTTATAATCATGACAAATGGATTCTACTGTGATGAATAATTAAAAAGAACCAATGAAGAAAAGAAAAAAATTAATACATTCATATGGAATCACAAAGGGCCCCAAATAGCCTAAACAATTTCCCAAAAGAAGAACAAAGCTGGAGACCACACACTTCCTGACTGTAAAAACACATGCATTGCTACTATAATCAGAACAGAGTGGCACCGGTGTAAACAGAGACTGCAGACCAATGGAACAAGACCAGACTAGAGTTTGGAAATACATATAGGGCAGCAGACCTCTGACAAGGCTGTTAAGAATGCCCAATGAGGAAAGGACAGTTTCTTCAATAACTGTTTTTGGGAAAATAGGAAAGCCACATATAAAAGAGGCAGATGTACTTCGTAAGCAACACCATACACAAAACTCAACTTGAACTTGACTTAAATGTGAAACCAGAAACTATAAAACTCCTAGAAGAAAATATGGGGAGGAGTAAGTTCATAATATTGGTCTTGGCAATGACTTCTTAGATATGACACCAAAAACATGGACAATAAAGCAAAGACAAACAAGTGGGGCTTCCTCAAACTGAAAAGCTTCTGCCCAGAAGGACACCGTCAACAGAGTGAAAAGACCGTCTGCAGAACAGGAGAACATTTGCAATCACATAACCAATAACAGTTTGGTATCTGAAACATACAAGAGACTCCTACAACTTCAGATCAAAAAACCAAACAACACAAGTAAAAAGGAACAAAGGACTTGAATAAACACGTCTCAAAAAAAAAAAAACACATAAAAATAGCCAATGAGTATTTGAAAAGATACTCAACATCACATACCATCAGGTAAATGCAAATTTAAAACCATGATGAGATAGCACCTCACACCTGTTAGGATGATCAATATAAAAAAATAAAGAGTTGGTGAGGTGGTAGAAAAATTGAATGTACAATTGTGCAGCTACAATGGAAAACATTATTGATGCCCACCCCCCAAACAAAATTAAAAATAGAATAGCCTTATCATGCAGAAATTTGGGTTCTGGGGATTTATCCAAATGAATTGAAGACAGTATTTAAAATAGATAGTTCTGTTCCCATGTTCATTGTGGCATTATTCACAGTTGCCCAAAGGCAGAATATTATTCAGCTTTGAAAAAGAAAATGGTGTACTACTATATGCTTTACCATGGATGAACTTTTAGAACATTATGCTAACTGAAATACACTAGTTAGAAAGGTAAACACTGTGTATTTCCACTCCTATGAGTTACCTAATGTAGTCGAATTCACCAAAACAGGAAATAGAATGGTGGTTGCTAGGGCTTGGGGACAGTGGGGAATGGAGAACCGCTATTTAATAAGTACACTCACAATCATGCAAAATGAAAATATTCCAGAACCACGCTGTGCTGCGGCATGCATACTGTTGACAATACTGTGCTTCAATAATAATAATAATAATAATAATAATAATAATAATAATAATGTAATCTGTCCATTGTTTTATCACATTCATGCAATTAGCTTTCAAACACATATCTCCAAACCCAGTTTTCCCAGAATCACAGACCCTCTGGTCCCTGCTGGTTTTCTCCATTCTTTCTCGTGGTCAGCAATAAAACCTAGACTCAGAATGTTCCCAGTCTAACTCATCCTCTTCCCAGACACCAACTGCTCTTTCCTATCAGATGTAGTATCATCGCCAACCAGAGAAACTTGAAAGTTGACCATAGCTACTTCTCCCACTCACAAAATCTGATTTATCAATACGTCTCTGGTGGCTTTATAAATATTTCTTTCATTTTTTTCTATATTCTTTCCACTCCCAATTTCCTCTACCACAATTCAAACATTCATTATTTTGACTTCAAGCGTTTGGTGCCATTCCTAAAATTGTAGTTCAAACATTATTTTCAAATGTGTATTCTTTCAACTTATTATTGTATTTCAAACTTATAAAAATTCATGAAATGTGCAGTATCTGGGCAAAAGATCCAGAGATATTAACAGATTCTAAAATGGGTCAGTGACCTCAGACAAGCTAAAGGCCACCTCTCTAAAACCAGCCCATCTCCAAACTTTATCTTCATACAACTCTCAACTTGAAAAATGAGGGCACACACCAATATCTGTCTATTAATTTATTAATTATGCATATGCATTACACCTAATCTGTACAGTCAATATTATCAAAGCTTAATTGATTAAGTTGAAAAGAAAACATTGACCTCTATCATTTGTAATTTTTCCCCTCACTCTGTGAGCCACAGTCGGGTACACTCTTACGGAACCGTGCAGAAGAGAAAACATTCTAAACTCTAACCACCCCGCCTTCTTTGCCTTTGCTCCCTTTTCTTTTTGTTGTCTACAGATAAATTAAAATCCCTTATCATAACCTGCACGCTGATGCAACTGTCTCCAGGCCAGCTTCCGGGCCCCAGCCCCTCCCAGCCCCCTTTTGCACTTTTTACCCATCTGTTCCCTGAACACACTGAGAATTATCCCCCAGTTTTGACTCTGCACATGCAGCCTGTCTGCTTAGCAATGCTCTCCTTGCCCTTTCAAAGAGGTCAATATGCTAAAGTGTTGGAGCACACAGGCTCTGGGACAGGCCATGGAAACTCCAGTCAGCTCAACACTGTGGCTGGCCTGACCCTGGACATGTTTCTAAGCTCCGATTGCTTCAGTTGCCTCACCTTTACACTGGGGGTAACAGCAGGACTCTGATCCGCCAGGCCACGTGAGATGCTTAGAACTGTGTCTGGAATATAGTCACAAGCATATCAGAACTTTGTAAAAAATTCTCTGACATCAGAATAAAACCTATTACACATGTCTTATTAATATGCATATTGGCTAGCTGTTGTTTTTTAAGGCCCCAGTTTAAGTGGACTTTCTTCTGAGGTCTCTGCTAACTGTCGCAGCTGGGTTTGCACCCGAGAGCCCTCTAATCACCCACGTGACTTCATCTGCTTATATTTTCTAGAAGACTGCATGCCATCATTGTTTGACTTATTTCCTTCTTGAGGGCAGGAATCATTATCTCTTATAAATTTTGTGTTTCTGGTTCTATCAGGTGAACACAGAGAACAGTACCTGTTTGTCACAACTGGCTGGGACATTTTGAGGGATGTGGTGGGCACATTTCTTCCCCTGCCTAAAACTCTGCCTATGGTTATACCCTTCCTGGGATGTGGCTATAACTTCCCTTGAGCAGACTTACCAGAATTTGCAGCAAAGTTGTTGTTGAGAAAACCCCAAAGTAGTTTCAACCTGTCAAAAGTTGTTAATGCTTCATGACACAACCCCGGTTATCTCAACATAATTGGGAAATGCAGGGTTAGATGACAATAACTCCTAAGGTCATCAACTGCATAGTGTGATCCCCGGATCTGATGCACATTAATCTTGCTGGAACATTCTAGAAATGCAGTTTTCAGATCCCATTCCAGACCTACCTACAGATCCTGCCTGAATGCACCTTGCAAATCTTTCTTCACAGGTCCTCTGAGTAATGCTGATCCTCCCTGAAGCCTACACCAGGGTAGTAGGGATCCATCTTAGGTACCATGGGACCTGCACCCGGACCAGCACCTTTGCCCACTCCACATGCTCCTTTGGAATGAGCTACTCCAACTCTGCGTATCCACACCATTACACTTGGTTTCCAGGAAGCTGAACCCCTCGGGGACGTTTGGTTTATTCATTTACAGATCAAGTCTTCTGTGTGGACAAGTGGTACTGGGACTGGTATCAGTGCAGTGTCCACTGTATGCCATTGGAAGGGAAAAGGGAAGCGGGGAAAGAGTGGAGAAAGGGAGAAGAGCTATTTCCACGAGAAGAAATTGAGTTTCAGAGAAGTGCTTTTCCCAAGTAAATGGAGAGCTAGGGAAAAAGAAAAAATAAATTCTACCCAAGGTTTCATTCAGAGGCTGGTTTCTCTCTCTCGTACCACTCTGTGTCATGTCCCAGTGATTTCTGTTGCACTCTCAGAACCCTTTGCCTTTCAAAATGTCTTGCATAAGAAAACAAAACAAAAAAATTTGCATTTCATGTTCAGTTCATTTATACACGATCTCTAATCCCCACAGCAATGTTCTAAATTAGATCCCAGTATGTCTGTTTACTGAGCAGTCCGTGGCAGTCTAAAGATACAGCCCTGGGAATGCAGGGCTGAGTTCAGGTCTTCTGAGTCTGACCCTTACCCTCTGTACCTGTGCTGCCCCAGCCCTGTCATCTGCCTTATCAGTCAGCTCAGCTGTTTAACAGTACCTTTAGCCCTTCTGGAGGTTGGGAAGTGCAAGGCCAAGGTGCCCACAGATCCAGCTCCTCATGAGGGCTCCCTTCCTGGTCTGGACACAGCTGCTTCCTCCCTGTGTGTTCAAATAGCTTTTCCTCACAGTGTGCCTGTGGAGAGACAGCTCCACCTTTCCTCGGGAGCTACTTCTCGTGACCTCATCTCCCCCTAATCATTTCCCAAAGACCCTGCTTCCTGAGCCTTCTCGGTGTGGGTCAGAACTTCCACATTTGAATTGAGGACACAGATACTCAGTCCATAGCGCCTGCCTCTCAGACCAACTGTCATCTTGGCCATGTACTAACCATCTCCAAGTCCCCTGCTTCTTCTCCAACCAGCCCTTTCCTGGGATGAAGAAGAACTGCTAATCACCAGCACTGAGTTCTCCACCAGTACTTTTTAGTGACCGTCTCTCTTTGGCCCCTTTGACTTCTCCCAGTATGCCAGGGCCTACTGCATATCTCTTTGGGATTGTATACACTTTCGTATTCCATGAGCACACTTTTCCAGTAGACTGTCAGGGTTGGGCTGCTATAGCTGAGAGTAAGCTTAAAGAATGGGGACATCAACCCCTTTATTTTTACAAATGAGAAAACGGAGGGTCAGAAAGATAAAAGAACTTACCTCATAGCCTAGTCTATTTTCCCCACAGCATGCAAACCCAAGGAAATCATTTCATTTCTGTACATCTTAGTCCATAAACTACAGGCAGAACATTTTCCTGTCCTGTCTTCCCTGATGAGAAGATTAAACTCTATGAAAACAGGGATTTTTATCACTTTTGTGCCCTGAGAGCTAATCTTTGTTTTTATTTTTAGAAATGCACCCTCAATGTAAATTGTCAGTTTGGGAAGATAATAAATACTGGACTAGATATAAAGTATTGCTTAGTAAAGGGGTAAACTTTTGTCAAGCCCCTAGCAAATATTAATGTCAATCAATGAAACCCCAACAACTACATTTAATCCTTTTACCCTGAGCACTCATAGCCAAAGAGTGGCATATCTCAGATTCTTGTGATCATTGACAGCCCACTTACAAAAGAAAAAGTGGAGCCATAAATGTTCAAGGAGAAAAAGATTAAAAGAAGTAAGAAGAGAAGGCAGGTTCTCATCTGGGACACCTGTATATTAAAAATCTATGTTTTTATTGAAATTTACCATTGCCCATAGCGTGATCAATTGCTTTTAAGATTTAGGGCATTTATAGCATGTCTAAATCATAAGGTTGGCCAAAAGGCCAAACATTTCAGTGTGGTCTAAATAAAGACTATAAGAACAGCAGGAGGCAGATTGAGACACGCAAAAGGGCACCAAACCAGGAAAAAGTGACGCGGGACTCAGGGACACGCGAGTACCCATCCTGTCTCTCGAAAACTTTGGCTTAAGTCAAGTTGTTTTGAGAAAACATTCCTTACATATATTTGTCCTCTGTTATTAATTGCCCCACGTGGGCCCAGTCAGGCCATCAGGAACTTCCAAAGCCTTGATTTCAGGCATAGGGAAAGAATTTCAATGTCACCCAATTTCTAAACAAAGGGTGGCTTCCTGGGTCTTGAAAACCAGAACAAGTCTGGTTTTGTGGACTGACATGAGACAGGGAATATCCAAAGTTGATATAAAACAGATTTTTATGAGCAGAGATACTGACTTCTTTTAAGGAAACACTATTGAAACTCATAGGTTCACTTTCTGAGAACTGTGGGATTTAAAATGCAATCTTACACCTCAACCCTGTGTATCATCTTGGGACAAGAATTCTCTCTGTACCAATAACCAGATCATGTGTGCAAGGATGAAACTAAAGATGCCTTACGTCCAGAAATGAAAATACATGGACATGTTAAGCAGAGAGAAGCTAGTAGAAGGGAACTCGGAAGGCCCCAGCCGCACTCTGACAGAAGGCAAATATACCAGACTCTCATTTTGACATCAATTGACTAATTTACTCCAGGTTTTCCTGAGGTTTCTTTTAGTGTATTTATAACCACAAAAAGCATTTATTTTGGTCCGAAGATAAAAAATCTTTTTTATGCAATGGTGCATATTTCTAAGGTAACAATGTTTCCATTGTCAAAACAACCATCAAAGAGGACAGGGTGGGAGGGCCACCTTCCCCATGTATCTGATTGGGCATTGGCTTTACCAAACATTCTGGTCTGGAGCCTATCCCAATTTCTGTTGCACAGTTGCTAGCTGACAGAGGGAACGATGCTTGTTAAATGATTTCATCTTTTCTGATATCATGAAGAAGGAAAATATTTTACGCACCAATGTCCTAGGACATTTTATTCTCCAACCTGGTACCCAGAACTCGTGCATACTGGATTAGACACAAGGCAAAAGGCAGATGTCCAAAGGATAAGTGAATTCAGATGTTTTTTCTGCTTTTTATTAATTCTGTGCTCCAGCTGTTGCATCTTAATACTGCTGAAATCTGAAATAGCATAAAGGATGAAGTAGCAGAAAGTGAGGGCGTTCTGGAACAATGAAAGACCAAAATGATATTCTGTACAAAATTGAAGATAATACCCCCCAAATCAGGGCTAGAAATGTTCACTTTGACAATTTCAAAGGGACAGGAAGTAAATGATGAGCTTTGTCCTCCTATTGGGAAATAAGATAACAGTCTCATGATTCTCCTGGCCATTGGACAATCCCCAATTGTCCTCAATCAAGACTGTCCCCAAGAAAATACCAAAAGAGAGGCTGGGTGAATCATGTCCCCCCCCCCTTTTTTTTAAAAATCCTCTGTGACACACAAATAAAAGTCGACCACAAGAATGAATAGAGTTGAACAAGAGCAAAACAAATTAAAAGTAGTGCCAGCCTTCACTGGGTTGGAAGCTGCATGCAGCTCAATGATGACAAGCAAGATGTTCATTCCTCGTCTAAAAAATGTTTTCCTAGAACAGCTGGAGGGCATCGCTCAGCGGCCTGAACATCTGGTTTAATGTACCTAGACTTCTTGGAGCCCTGGGCCAGAGTCTTGGTGTGATTTGCTTAACCCTTTACCTTTAGTAGAACTAAATACAATTCCCAACTCTTCAGAGTGTGGTTCTTGGGAACTTTGGGGAAAGATGTAACCACCCTCTCTCTGCCTAGAGAGAAAAGAATTCCAAGGATTAAACTTGACACATGAGGCCCCAGGTGCTTTCTTTGGATTGTTTGCTGGGTTGCCATATTTGTTGTTTTATGTAGGGTCTTTTATTTAAGAATTTCTAAATGCTTACTGAAGGGGCCTCATGGCACAAATGAGCAATTGTCATGTGGTGAGGATGAGAAGAAATGAGACACCAGAATGCCACAGCCAGTCAGAGAAAAGGCAGTAACGAGATTCAGTCAATTCATGGGCATTCATGGTCGGGTCAGGTGACAAACCTTTCTGGGGAATGGTGCAGCTCAGATCAATGTGCATCTTAAACCCCTGCAATAATATTGGTTGGTCTGAAAGAAAAGACATTACATACCATCTTTGAGC